TTTGGAAGGTGATTTGGGACATAGGATCATGATTGGAATGTGTTTTGGAGGTCCAGAATAGATTTAGGCTTGAATTGGCAAAATTAAAATTTTAGCGTTTTCCGGTTGAGAGGTGAGATTTTGATATAGGGGTCGGAATGGAATTATGGAAGTTGGAGTAGGTCTGTTGTGTCATTTATGATGTGTGTGCAAAACTTTAGATCATTCGAGCGTGGTTTGATAGACTTTTTGATCGATAAAGGAATTTGAAAGTTTTTGGAATTCTTAGGCTTGAATCCGATGCCAATTTGGTGTTTTGATGTTGTTTTGAGCATTTCAAAGGTTGGAACAAGTTGGAATGAGGTTATGGAATATGTTGGAATATTTGTTTGAGGTCCCGAAAGCCTCGGGTGAGTTTCGGGTGGTTGAACGGATCAATCCATGTTGGAAAAGTTGTAGAAAAATCTGTTATTGGTGTTGCAGGCGTTTGACCTTCGCGTTCACGAGTGGGCTCTCGCGTTTGCGAAGGGTTAGTATTTGAGGCAGGAAGGTTGTCCTTCACATTCAGGATGTGGGTCTCACATTCGTGAAGGGTTGGGGTCATTGTGCATCGAGTTTGCGATTGTTTTCCCCTGTTCGCGTAGAGTTAATGGGAGCAGCTGGGTCCATGTCGTTTGTGCTTCGCGTTCGCGAGCTAGTTGTCGCGTTCGTGATGGATTGAGAAGCTGGAGCTTCGCGTTTGCGTACAGGACATCGCGTTCGCGATGAAGGAGTAAGTGGTCAACGGAATTTTTGTGTTTCGCGGACGCGAGGCGTTGACCTCGTTCGCGAAGAAGGAATGTGAATAGCTGGGTAGAATGTTTAAAAGACCACTTCCGCGATTTTGGGTCTAAATTTCACCATTGTTGAGAGATTTTGGAGCTTTTTGAGAAGGATTGAAGAGGGAATCAAAGGGAAACACTTGGAGGTAAGATTTATGGACTTAATACTCATTCCTATTGTGATTTCTACTTAATTAAACATGCAATTTGTGGAATCTAAAGCCTAAAATTGGAGAGTTAGGGGTCATTTGTGGTCGGATTTTGATGTATTTGATATGTATGAACTCGTGAAACTATAAGGATTTTAGTTTTGTAATTTTATCGGAATCTGAGATGTGGGCCCGGGGGTCGGGTTTGGCCAATTTTAGAATTTTTGATGTAAATTGGTTATTTTCGAGTGGGCTTTGTTCTCTTAGCATATTTTGATGGTACAGATTTATTTTGGATAGATTTGGAGCATCCGGAGGCCGATTTGAGGGGTAAAGGCATCGCGGGCTAGAGTTTGGACTGGATAAAGGTAAGTAATGATTGTAAATGCTGTCCTGAAACCCCGAATTTTACAACGTTGTACTACTTTGAGGTGAGGCACATGCTAGATGACGAGCGTGGGGTCGTGCACCATTGGGGATTGTGACTTAGTCCGTCCTGTATGATTGTTAAACCGCGTATTTAATTGAAAACCATTTACTATCATTGTGTTTTGGAAAGTATCATTATGTTTTGGGCTGAATGCTATATTTGAGCCTCGTGCCAACTGTTTTGGACGCTTAGGGAATTTTTACTACTATTCCCCACTGTTTTAAATTCATATTTGTACTCAGTCATGTTGTATTCTACTGTTTTCATAACTCAGCCATATTTACTTCGTTTTGATATTTTGGGCTAAGCATCATGTTTTACTATGCCCGAGTGACTTGAGAGATTTCTGACTGAGTAAGACCAAGGCCTGTGTTGTGAGGATATTATGGGATCAGGCTGCGTGCCGTAGTGGTGTTGTATTGATTCATGATTATGAGGCCGAGAGCCTGATTTGTTACGCCACGAGGTGGCTTGTTGTAAGGTTGAGGGTCATTTGATTATTCCACGAGATGGCTTGATATAGCGCTTGGGTTGTAGGAGCCCCTCCGGAGTCTACACACCTCCAGTGATTGCGGGTACCCAGTGTAAGATGTGAGATAGCCTGAGGGGCTGGTTCTGTTGGTATTTTACCCGAGGGGCTGATTTATGTTTCTACCCTTTTCTCCATGTTTTTATCACTCGTTTGAACTACTGAAAGAGGTTTTGAAGAGGTTTTTACTAAACTAAGGTGTTTTATGAGCTTTTACTATTTTATTGCATTGTTCTAGTTTTATATTGTTTTTATTATAGCATTATGCTGTATTTTACGTGTTTTCTTATCGCTCAACTACTTTTACTTTTACTACTTACTGAGTTAGCGTACTCACATTACTCCCTGCACCATGTGTGTAGATCCAGGAGTCTTGGGTCATGCTAGCAAGTGTTGATTTGCCTTCCAGCAGGCTTGTTTGGAGTTGACTAGGTAGTTGCTCGACTTTCGCAACCCAGTGCTTCTCCTTCATATATTTATTTCACTTTGTACTAGCTTTGTATCAGACTATGTTGTCTTTTCATACTCTTAGACGTATTGTAGATGCCCATGACTAGTGATACCCCGATATCGGGCTGTGTTTGTTTCCGTACTGTTCTATTCTACTCTTTATTTTGGGATTTTTAGCTTATTAATGACTTGAAATGACTTATTATAACTGTTTAGTTGGTTTGGGGGTTTGTGTCGGCTGGCCTAGTTTCACGGTAGACGCTATCACGACCGGGTCCGGTTTAGGGTCGTGACATCCGACTACTAATACATCTCAAAATGATAATACATCATGGATGTATGATATTATTCATACACATTTATCATCCACTCATCGTCAAATCCCTTTTACTACACTGTTACCATTTGCACAATGGCATTTATGGATTATAAGGAACAAAACTATATTGGACCATAAAAGAGTTCCTTTAAATATTCACTTATTAATCAATACAACAGCAGAATACTATTTTCTAACATCTAACAACCTAAAAAAAATCATGCCACGCCTCTTTATATTAAATGGCTTCCTCCAGCTGCAAACTACTATAAACTAAACATAGACGGGTCTGTCTCATCTTCCCACAAACAATATGGCATTGGTGGAGTTTTTCGTAACCACCAAGGCAACTTGATCATGGGCTTTGCAGGAAAATCAAACTCAGGTACAAGCATTCAGATAGAACTCTTTGCATTACTCATGGGACTGAAAATTGTTGCTCAACAACAAATTACACCCATTATCATTGAAACAGATGCGAAAGAAATCATAGGTATGTTCCAAGCAATTACTATGCACTATACTAACACTATCAATGATTGCAGGTTGTTACTTCTATAGCTGGATAGGCCTCCTATCCAATATATCTACAAAGAGCAAAATCATGCAGAGGATAACTGTATACTTTTTGCACACCCACCACTTTTTGCCACACCTTTTTACTAGCAAGATCACAAAGGAACACTACAAAGGAGGCTCGTTAATATCAACCTATCTGCTTCAACAAAACTGCTCCCTGTTACATCTACTTGTTGTAATAGTAATGGTTTGCCTAATTCTGACTTAATATCTAGTAATGATCCCCATGTAGGGGAACTTGTAGTAAATGCTACTATTTCTAGCTTACTACTAGGATGCCTTTGACGCATCTTACTCCATGTACTAATCTTACTGTTTAATTATCTATAATAAAAGTACTTCTTTTCGACCAAAAAAACATCTCTACGTCAAAAGTGATGGAGTACCCGTTACTTTCAAATCCTAGATCTGCCACTGCCGCTAATTGTCACTTTTATTATGTGAGTAGGGGAAAGTTTTAGATTTTTATGTTAAAAAATATAGTTATATGACTTTGATGAAAAATATTATATTCATATGACTATTCGTAAAATTTACTAGCTACTAGGTTAGATCGTTTCGCTTATCTAATGAAAAAGAGAAAAAAATCAGAAATTGTGATATGAACTATTGATCATTTTGAAAGTCGTTTAAAATAACCTTATTAGAAGTAAATTTTTTTATTACTATTCCATATTGTAAATTTCAAATTGTAAACAACCTATAACAATAACGTATAGGCAGAGATTCATCATATCTTGGAAACCATATTGAATTGAGTGAATTATCTCATTTAAAGTGAATGAAAATATTTTCCATTCACATAAAAAGATTAAAAATTATTAACAGTCCATATTTTCAATTATGTAACAAGCATATATAGCCATTGCTTTTTTGCTTTTGTATCCTTAATTATTTTCAGTAAATATTTTAAATAAAATTTAATGCAAGGTACATGTTCTTCTCCTGGTTCTCTGAGGCAGTTATGGATTCCCATCCAGCCAAAAATACAAAAGATCAAACTTGAGATGCGGAGAGTCACAATTTCTCTGGGTGTGCGTGCCATTGCCATAAAAGATCTGACATTTTGGACTATATTCTACATAGATAATAGTGAAAATAACATGGACTAGCCAATTTTCAGGCTGATAATTGAAAAATAGTTTTTATTTGCAAAATTATTAAAAAATAGCTACTATTCTATGCAGAGATAAAATCTGAATAAAATACCGTGGTTGAAACACGAAAAATTCTAGCGTAATATGTTGGATTTTGGAGCTCCTGCATATAAATTTTCAACATATTATGTTGGAACTCCAACACATTTTGAAATTCCAGTACATTATGCTGGAATCTCATAGAGCTCCAACATATTATGTTAGGATTTTTCCGGATTTTAAGGATATTTTTGTTCAGATTTTATTTTTACATAAAATGTGGTTAAATTTCATTACTTTTGAAATTGTCGCTACTTTTCAATTGGCAATTGTCAATTGTAAATTAGGCTATTTCTAATTTTATTTCCCTATATAAAATAATTATCATATACTCCAAGGCTGGTAGTAAAAAAATATTAACCAAATAAAAGTTCCATGAATTCTATTAATATGTTTTCTTCTTTCTTTATTTTTGTTTCGGTTTTCACCTTTAGTTTTGATTTTCTAAGTTTAGAGGGAATTAAGAGGGCATGTTGATATGTGTGTCACACTGCAGCATAAATTATCCTGAAGCAGTGAGCCAGTGAGAATGAAAGTTGAGCTGAGAATTCCAGTCATCAGAAGACAATGTACCAAATCTATTTTATTGTGCCATTGGCTAATGCAACTAGCAAATCTACCAATGTGAACCCTCCATTTGTTTAGCATTCCAAGAAAATAAAAATTATTGATTTCTTCCTTATAAAATAGGCCTCTTGCCATCAGTAACAATTTTCACAGGGAAGTCCCTCTTTGTCACCTCTATTTTTACTATCCAATTCCTGAATTAATCTTCCCCATTATACCAATGGATGAACAAGCAAGAATTTGTGAAAATGCTGTTGACATTGATAGTAATTTTCTTGGATTAAGTTGCAAAGATCACAAAAAATCACCAAATTTTCTCATGAATTTGATGAAGTATTCTTTGCTTGTTGGAGCTGAAAAGGCTTTACTGGTTCGAAAATCACAAGAGCCATTTTCATGCTCCAGCTTAAGTTCATGGACAGACGAAGAAACTGCTCGTGAAAAAAGGAGAAACAAAGGCAAATCACCTCTTCAGGATAATAAATCATGTGCAATTGAGTCATGTAAAGAGCATTTTGATATGCCAAAAGTGGTTAACTCTTATCCTTCAGGAAGTTATAACACTGAATTATCATTCGGTTTCACTGCATCTTTCACAGTAATGATGCTCAAACTAGTTGGATTTCAAATGAATTTACTGGTAAGACTCTTCACATTTCCCATTTCTTTGATGAACTATTGGATAATGATCTTGACCCTACCATTTCAAACACTAACCTTAGCCAAAGAGCAATTAAAGAAACAGCTGATGAATCTTGGCACGAAATCTTGGTTAAGTTTGATGTCATTTGTATTCAGCCAGATTAAGGCACAAAAATCTGTGTTGAAATTGACAGTAAGGTTCTGTTGGGCTCTGTTCTGGGCAGTCTATGTTTGTTTTTTGTTGGTTGGTTTGTTGGTAATGGGATTTGTGATAAGTGGAGTTACAATGAGACGTTTGGTGGAAGAACCAATTGAGACAACAAAGTCATTAAATTTTGATTACACAAAAACTAGCCCTGTTGCTTTTGTACCACTTGCATCATCTGCTGGTCTCTCTACTCCACTGATCTCCAAACCAAAAATTGTAGACCGGCCCATACCTTATAATCACAAGTTGCAGCTTATTGTTTCATTAACCATGCCTGAATCTGAGTACAACAGGAAGCTTGGGATTTTCCAGGTACTCTTGCTTCTTTTTCTTTTCTTTTTTTTTGTCTGGTTTTTTTATTTTTTAGGGTGTGTTTGTATGACAGAAAATATTTTTCAAAAGATTTTTTAGTGTTTGGTTGCCAGAAAATATTTTTCTCGAGAAAAGTTTTTTCATTTAAAGGGGAAAACAACTTCCCCTCATATTAGGGCGGAAGTCAACTTTCTAAAACAAATTATCTCAATTTTTAATTACATATCACTATTTTAACTAATACTCAGATATTATTATCAATCTTTAATATTCAAAGTTTTCAGAAAATGTTCTTCACTCTCTCCAACCAAATACTGAAAAATATTTTTCGAAAAATTGCTTCTTCCATATACCAAACACTCTCACTATAGCATTGTCTATTCTTATAGAAAGAGATGCTTACATCCTGTTTTGGTTGGTGCATGCAATAAGAGATTTAATCTCCACATTAAACTCAATATATAATTACATATACATTGTTTGATTGCTTCTTTTATGTTACGCATAAATAAGGCATGCATGAGTTATGCAAATTTATTATTTTATTGCGGAGTAGGATTTGGAATAAGAATATGACTATCAATAATACATGGATTAGAATAGAAAATAACAAAAATGTCCTCAGGCTGTTTAGATTCATTCTTCTTTTTTCTTGAAAATATTAAACTAGAAATAACTTGTGCAATATACAATCCCTACATTATAATCCATGTATAATTGAACCTCTAGCTTTTGTCCCTGAAGGTAAGGGTGGACTGCTTGTCAGCAGATGGCAAAGTGACAGCAACCTCAAGCTATCCAAGCATGTTAAAATTCAAAAGCCAACCAATCCGAATTGTTGAAACCGCGATAAAAAGCATCCCTCTTGTCACTGGTTTTCAATCAGAAGTCCAGAATCTGAAACTTGTCATCAACGATTTCACCGAAGGTTTCGAACCAACGGTATGTTTTAAAGTTGTTCTTGAAAAAAGAGCTGAGTACCAACCAGAAGGCGCAGGTATACCAGAAATATATGCAGCAGCCTTACATGTGGAATCAGAGCTTCCTCAAATAAAGAGAATTATATGGCTTTGGAGAAGAACTGTTTTTGTTTGGATTGGGATTATGTTATTCTTAACTCAGCTAAGTTTCGCTTTGATATTTTGTCGGCCTGTGCTTTTACCAGGAAGAAGGCTAATGACAGTTCTTGGAACTAAAAAGAATGCCCAAAAGAACAAAATTTCGTGGTAATGGATTCAGCATATCAGATGAGAGATTGATTGATATTATTAATATGTTGTTCAAGAATTAATGCTTTGAATTAGCATCTTCATATTTTGTTAGGCTTATTGTTACCTCTCCTTGTATTTCTTATTGTCAAGAATGAATGACAATGAGTAATAAAATTATCACGACTTTAATAGTTTAAACGATGTGTGAAATTTACACAAACCAGAGTCGGTAGAGATTTTGCGTTAAAGTAATCAAAACAATTTTCAACGTTACTCAAATGAAGTATGCATGTGAAAGTATATGTTTTCGCCCAAAAATAAACAAATAAATGTTTCTCATGCTTAACAATTGTATCAGACTTTAATTAAATAAATAAAGGTACTAGATCTCTAATACTGTAATTAACTTTTAGATTATTCATTTTATACAACTTGAGAATATTAGAGTGAATAGAGATTTTTTTGTTTTTTTGGGTGAAAGAAAATTTTTATTGATCTCCATCTGACAAAGATATTTACAAATTTATATCCCTACTATAACTAATTGTATTCTCCTTTTTCATCCCTACTAGGTAGGTCTGTTCTATAGTATATTATCTATACAAGAGATTGATCCATTCTTTTTCTTTCCTATTCTTCCTATTATCAACTATCAGCTACAATCTGTGTTTACTATCCTCTTTGATATTCTTCAACATCTTTGTTGCCATTGGCACGGCCTGATTCCATAGAGCTTCATTTGTGAATAGAGATTTTGTATCCAAATTTTACTGCGATCGATTAAAGTAATTATATTATGAAAAATAATTAGGTTTGCACGTGAACATGCATATTGTTGGCCTTAAATAAAAGAAATAAATAAATATTTTTCCTTTTTAACATCTTATTTTTTAGAGGGAAATTCAAAAGCCTTCCGGTAATAGCTATTTCGTTTATCTAGAGTTTGGTTTGCTCGTTATTGTATTTGTATAATAGATTCAACCAATTTTTTTAAGAAAAAAACAGCCACATATATATATATATATNGCAACAACGACACCAAGATTTTTACGTGGAAAACCCTTTTGAATAAGGGAAAAAACCACGGCCCTGAGAAGAGCAACTGATATCACTATAGCAAGGAATTTTACACTTTGTAGGTCCGAATCAAATACCCAAAAGACCACTACAACACTCAAAAGAAATAACCCTCTTTTGATATTCCCACCTCACTACAATATCACTCACTCTCTATTTTTATCACAGACTATTTTCTTATACCCTGTCTGTAAAACCTCACTCTTTCTTTCTAACTCTCAGATATATTTTTCCTCTGAGATTGGTGTGTCAAGATGAGAGCTGAAGCTCTCCTTTTATAGGCAGAGCCTCACTCTCTTACGCCTACTACATTTGACATTTTCTCTCATGCAGATATGCTATGCCTACCAATCTTGACATTTTTTTCCTTGACAATTCAAGAATTGCGGTGGCTGCCAATTTCAAAGAAAAAGACTTAGAAGTTTTTATCAATGCCTTAAATTATGGGATGGACCCCACAAATCTCCCCCTCCAGTCACATTCACCTGAAGGAGGTAACACCGAAGGTTCTAGTTTGAGTGTATGCCGACAAGTTCTTTGCATAGCTCAAACTTCTCTCTTGGTACCACTTTGGTCAGCATATCCGAAGGATTCTCACTTGTATGGATCTTCTTTACCTGCATAGACCCATCCTCTATCCTTTCTCAAATCCAATGATATCTCACGTCGATATGCTTCGTCCTTGCATGATACATGGTATTTTTGCTCAAGACTATTGCATTTTGACTGTCACAATAGACGACATACTCCTTCTGATGCAATCTAAGCTCTTGAAGTAACCGTTTGAGCCATACCATCTCTTTGTCAGCTTCAATAGTGGTAATATACTCCGCTTCAATTATAGAGAGTGCGACACACTTCTGCAACCTCGACTGCCATGATATAGCTCCCCCTGAAAATGTAAACAAATATCCAGTAGTGGATTTTCTGTTATCAATGTCACATGTCATATCAGCATCTGTATAGCCCTTCAAGAAACATGTTGACAACACCAACTGCGTAAGCAATATTAGGTCTAGTATATACTATTGCATACATCAAGCTTCCGACTGCTGAAGAATAAGGAACTCTATCCATGTTCCCTTTCTACTCCTCTGTTGTAGGACATATCGTTTTGCTCAACTTTAGATGACTAGCAAGAGGTGTGCTGACTGGCTTAGCATTCTTCATGTTGCTGCGTTCTAGTACACGTTCAATGTACTTCTCCTGAGATAGCCACAACTTTCTACTTGTTCTCTCTCGAACTATCTTCATCCCTAGAATTTGTTGTGCTGGGCCCAAGT